ATTTTAACGACTGTTATTTTGAGTGTGAATTAGCATTTTGAAGGAATATTTTTGGCGATTCCTGACAAATATGGCTATTTTTTGAATGTGTTCATGACTAATTTGTTCCATTTGTAATATAAATATGGTGGGATACTCAAATTTCTGAGCAAGAAGTGAACATAAGCATTTCAAAATTATTCATTTTTGTAATGAAGAGCTCTCAAACAACTTTCCGCTTTTGGGGATGTGAATTCTTTTATTAAACGGTTCTAAATTTGGTGATTATCAACATTTTTGGCAATTTTAAGATCGGTTCTATAGAAAAATTTTTAATTCCGAGATCTGGGAATTTTTGACGATTTTTTTGAAAATTCTAACATTGATAATTCATTAAAATAATGGTAATATATTGGATTATATTTAAGAAATAACATTAAAATAAAGCATTTTTATTGTTCACTGTCATATTATAAAGTTCCATTTTATACAAGTTTTTGAGTCTGAAAAATAATAAGGAATAATGCTATAAAGCACAGTTTACAAAACAGCTTTTAGCAACAGCAAAATAGCTGTGTAATTAATTAAAAATGGCTTTTTAATTTTTTCATGGTAAGAATTTTTCCCATTTCTCAGAATGATCAGAATTCTCAGAAATGCATCAATTTTCTCTATAAAATTAATTTCACACTTTTTTCCTCCGATTTTTTTAAAAAACATTTCTGGGTTTTTGCTGTTACAGAATTGGTAGGAGTAATTTTTCTTTAGGATTTTAGACATTGAAACTTAAAAAGTTTAGTTTATAAAGATTTTAAGGCAAATTTATAGACCCATGATTCTAAAAGATTCCAGAAAAATGTGATAAAATGAAAAATGTCTCCATGATAGTAACACGCTGTTTCTTACATTTTGGAGAACATCTGGAAGAACAATGAAAACATGATAGTTGAATGTTTTACTTCTGATTCTAGAATCGCTTTATTAACATTTTTATCTTCCCTTTATTTTCTCTACTTTTCACTAGACAGAAGCATGGAAAATATCAAAAGTACTTCTAATCTTATCATATGGACAGACATTATAGAAAGGAAATTTTTTATTAATAAAGAAATTGAAAACTGACAATTCAAAAGATTCATCTATGTCTTAATGCATCATACACAGAGCTGGCGCTAGGCATTTTGCCACCTGACGCAGTATCTGTGGATCCTAAATTCTGCTGCTTGGTGCCTTTCTAAATTCTGCTTACAGTGCCTGCTCTAAATTCTAAAAGTTTTGCCATTTCTAGATTTTGTTGCTCAGTATGTCCCTAAATTCTAAAAATTATGCCACACCAGCTCTGTGACCAGACTTTACCATATGTATTTCATATTTCTCTGAATGTTCATATTACTAAAGAAATAAAATTAGCAGCTTTTTCCATACATTCTAAATTCATTTAGTCTTTTAGAATAACAGAAGTGTTTAATTAAATCCCAAAAATTTAAAGTGAAAAGGAAATGTGTTAAAAAAAGAAACTAAATATGTAAAGAGAAAGAAAATTATTCTTCAAAGTTATGTACAGTTATTATTATGTAAATTATCCAGTTATTTACAGTTTCAGCCTTTACTAAAATCTCCCATTTCTATTTCCTCACCAGGATGCAAATTAGACAGTTTTTAAACTGAGGTTTTTGTAGTGTAAGACAAGTGGTTTTCTGACCTCCACTTGCTCCCTGCATAGTTCTGTCAGCTCTGATAATTTGTAATTATTGTCTCCATTATGCTGCGGACATTTGAGTTTATTATGACAATAGAGTACTGAATCAGATTAAATTGAAATTAAATTGTATAGTTTTAACCACTGTCCACATTTAGTTTGCTTGACTTGTTTAATTATTCACCACTACTGTTAATTGATTTTGTTAGCATAAACAGACTTATATATTCCAAGTTCTTTTTGAATAAGAGTATTAACCTTTGAAATTTATTATCTGATTTATAATTATTTTCAGAGGTCAGCTAACTTTCAAAACTTGCTAACTGTGCCTACATCAGGCCTTTCAGGTTTGTTCTGATCAGCAGGTCTCTTTATAGGCAAGCAGGAGCGGTTACAGCAGCCAGTCTTTTGCTATGAATCATGCTGATTATGATTTCAATGCTCATTTTAACATATGCTGGACATAAAATCTACTTACTATTTACTAAACCTCTATGTATGTGACAAAATGAGACATTAAAAAAAAAAAAAAAAAAAAAAAAAAAAAGCTGTTAGTAAAATGTCACTTATCTTCTTTCAAATATGTCCAGTTATTATGAGTGCAAAATATTTAATGCTACTTGGTAAATTTCATAAAATTAATTTTATTCTCAAACATATTAATAATTATGTTTAATAATAATGCATCCTACTCACGTTCAGGCCTAGATATAATATTTTTAATTGAATTTATTCAGTTCCCATTTGCTTTTAGGTCCTTAATTTTTTTCATTAATGGTCCTTAAAAGTACTTAATTTCCTTTTGCAGAAATGTGTACGAACCCTGTTGCAGTATGTAACAGTAAATAATTTTTTTGCCTTTGTAGGTCAAAAACATACTTCTGGAAACTTTTTAATTTGTTGTCCAAATCTTTCGGAAGCCTTTGCAAAACTTATTTTACATAATTAATGGTTATTTTACATATTAATAGTTAACTTATTCCATGCCATAAATCAAAGACACAGCTCAAAGTTGCTTTAGAGTTTTTTTATTTCATTTGCTTCTTCCCCCTCCCCCCCATTTTTAAGGCAAATGAATCTATGCTGTTTCTTGGTGAAATTAATCCATTCTGGCAATTTTCTAGAATCTATTTTGCAATACTTTCTTCTAGGATAGACCATTTTGTTATTCCTTTATACAAAGCACATTTATTCTTTGGCATAGTAATTACTGTGTTTTTATTTTTCTTCTACTCACGTACAGATGTTTCATCAACACCAAACATCCTTGCTACAGCATGATTTCTGTTCTTTCTCGCCAATTTCAAATGGTTTCAAACGCAAAATCATTTCTTTGACTTTGCATTTGAAACCAACATTGTGTTTGTTTTGTTTAGCGGGAACCATATTTACTCTTAAAAGGAACACTATATTAACTATATTTCAACAAAAGCAAATATGATTTACGAAAGCCTTCGAGGTTCACTTCAAAATCAGGGCTTGAAATGACTACAGAGAGAGGAAGTATCTGATTTCTAATTATGTGTATTTATTCTAGTCGGAAGTGCATTGGTACCCCAAATTATGTCCCACTTTTCTCAAAACCCTAAATAACATTCTTGTACTTGGACTGAATATGGCACATCCTCTTTACAGAATTATTTACTCCCTCAAACATTTTTGCCACACACTTATTGTTCCCCTTATCGTTTTTCAGTTCAGTATGCTATTGTATGAAAGTGGGGGGAAAATCTTTGAATTAATGGCTTCAGAAGATAAGAACATCACACATGTATCCTTCAGGTTTCTACGTAAAGATGAGGATGTGTGTTATACTTTGATATATACCTAAAAATTAAAACATGTAGTTTGAAATTATAGGTGTGCATTACACAGTGGCACGTGTTATATGCTGGAATATTTGGTGTGTGTGTATATATGTAAGTACGTACATAATGTAGGGAAATAGGAACCCCTAGTATATGTATGTACTGGTTTGCATTTATATGTACAGTCAAAAGTCGTTAATCCGGACTCGTCGGGACTTCTGCGATTCCAGATTATCGATTTTTCCGGATTATAGATCATCAGTTTAAATCTCGTAATATGGCATGCAGAAATTCTAAAATTAAAAATATGAAACCGTAATTTATGAAATAAAGAACAATTATAATCTAAAGGGTATCAAAATTTACCAAAAAAAAAAAGCTTAATATTTATTGTTTAATTATTAAACATTTCTTTCAATGTAAGTTGTTTAAGTTGCTGTTTTATGGATCATACTTTCTCTTAATTCTATAAACAGACATATTTCTTGTCAGTTACAAGTTCCGCTGTTCAAGTCCGTTAATTGCTGTGCCGAGAATACCGACTACTTGTCAATCGAAATTTTTTCGTTTCACTAACCTCTCTGTCATATTCTTCATGTCTTTATCCATTTTGCAGCAATACCACTTTTTGTTGTTGGACATCGAAACATACTTTGTTTTGTAGATCCTTGGAAGTTCCAGCATCGGAAATTCTATTTGACATAATCGAAAGTTCAAGTTTACTTTTATATAATTGCTCTTACAGTCAGCAAAAAATAATAAGCGGGATCCAATTCAAAGATTAAGGAACAATGCAATCATTAACATTAACTGAAATAGATAATTAGATAATTTTAGCTTACACCGTCCTTTATACATTAAACGCGCAGGTGAAAACGTATTCTGCACTTGCGCACACGCCTCTGCGCATGCGCAGAAAGTTTTTAGCTTTGAGGTCCGGATTATGGGTGTCCGAATTAATGACTTTTGACTGTATATATAGGCATATATGATGTAGGGAAAAGGAAATTGTAATTTTTTTTTTTTTTTTTTTTTTTTTTTTTTGTAAGCAGCTAAAAAGTTTTTTAAAAATAAACAAAAGTTTACTTTTCTTTGTGTATTAGAATTTTTTTTTAAATAATTTGATACCTCATTATTTTTTAATATAAGTACACATTATGTTGTTAAATTTATTTAACTTTAAATTTTTTTTAAAAAAAGGGAAAAAGAAGCAGAACCTTCAGCACTTATTTCTAGTATACAGGTAAATTTTGCTCTTTAAATGAAACAATTTTAGGATTTTTAGTTTCATTTTCCATATCATTTTTTAAATAATCATTTTGCAGGTTAAACAATCAGTTTTTCCCTTAATGTGAAATTTACTTAATCTTCAAAGCATGGCAACAGTATTTAATTAATTTGCCTTTTAAAATTTTACAGCTAAAAACTATTTTTAGAAATGTTTGTATACTTTCTAATTGCTTGCATGTTATGTAATCTGAACAGCACTATGTTAACGAAAAAAACTATTTTAGTTTATGCATTTGAATGACCTGAAGCTGATTTGTAGAGCACATCAACTTGTCCATGAAGGTAAATAAATCTTTTGAACATTTTCTAGTTCACAAATGTTTCATATAGTAATTTTAATAATTTTTTTAATTAAAGTAATTGCACTTGATATATGTTAATCAGTAAAAAATGATAAAAAAGTAAAAACTGTCACATTATTTTTCAAGTATTAATTTTTTTAAACTGGCAAAAACTTAAAATTTAAAAATGGTGGAAATGCAGTTCTCATGTTCTAGTGTGCATAGAAGAAAACACAAATGAAAGAGAGAGTGATGTGAATAATAATATTTTAATCAGCAAATGATTATTGTTTCGATATTTAAATAGGTCACAATAAGTGTTCAAAGTAGCAGCCACCAGCTATGATACAAGTGGGACACTGGCACAGTATAAAATGATATACTTTTTGGAATATACCGGTAGTCTCACAGATGATTGTGCTAGCTACGCTAATGCACACCCCAAGATCCTCCTCACTGGCCACGGATGTTTCATATACCAGCCTTTTCACACAACCCCAGAGAAAGAAATCTAGGCAGGATAGGTCTAGCAAACATGCAGGCCAATGAATAAGACCACAATGACTAATATACCTTCTTTGACTGAATGTTAAGTCTTGCAAAACACAAGGAATAAAATGGGCTGGGAAACCACATATCATTGTGCCACGACAGCTGGACGCTTTGCTCATCTAACAATCTGGGAAGGACTTCCCCAAGAAAATCTTACAAGACCGACCATCCAAATGAATAAGCATGAGATATGGGCCTATTGCACACCAAACATTGACAGAAAACTGGTGTTATACTGCATGTGCTCAGATACTCCTTGTGTTGTCCTATTTGTGTGTTATATGCGTTGAAAGAGCCTCCTGTGCTAAAGTATGCCTCATCAGTGAACAGGATAGCAGTAGGAAAATGAAATTCTGTTGCACATTTCTATTTGTACCATTCAGCAAATGCAACTCACAGTGTGTAATTGGCACAAAGCAGTTGCTGTATGCTCTTCTCATATTATGGAAACAAGTGGTTTTGAGTGCAGGATTCTCCAATGATTTGGGAAACAGTGAGACTTAGCAGTCACTCATGTGCTGACATGTGAATTCCTTTCTGCATAACGAAGTACCATCTCTTGTACTGCAGCTTTCCTTGTTGTTCTTTCCTTGTTTCCTTCATTCTGAGTTCCTTTGATAATAATTCCTTCCTGAAAGATCTTGTATTGCGCAATATTTGCAGCCATGTAAACATCTGATGATTTGGTATCTGCCTATTGAAGGGCTACTTACTGTACGGGTGCACAGCTGCTAGCCCATTACAGTTGGCCATTCCATATGCTAGATGCATATCTACTAACTCAAGTTACTGAAACATTCCATCTTACTTCTTCTGCAGTTGATTGTTGATAATGCCTAATTTCGCAGGTAAAGGTTTTAACTGTTCCATAACAACACCTAGTGCACTACGAATGCATTTCCATCCTTATATTGCTATGCATTTCCGAGTCATCTCTGAGTAATTTATCCTTTCTTGAAGTTTGCACACACTTAAGAGAATAGCCCCATATATTCCAATTTCGACATATGGATTTGTGAAGCAAAGATTTGTAAACTGTCCCTGATTATTTATAAATTTTCTTAATTTTAATTAAAAAAATCTGTTATGTAATGAACTGTATTTATAATTAATAAAACATAAAACTTTTAAATATTAAACAATATGAAATCTGGTCATTTAATTTTCTTAAAAATAGAGGTTTCTGAAGAGCTTTTTCAAATTTCCTTAACCCTTTGCTAATTTTATTATATTTTTTAAGTATATATGTACTCTTTTATGTTATTATTATTATTATTATTATTTTGAAAAATAATTTTTTAACATGTCTGATTTTTATGCATAATTTTTCTGTGTATTTCTTCCAGCATTCATCTAGTATTTATCCACTTTATAATCAATAGTTTTTATGACACAGAGAAATGTCTCCAGCAACCATATCTTTTGAAAGCAACCAGTATTTCAAAAACATCAATAAAATTGGTATTGAGAATTATATTAATATAAATAAACTCAAATTGGTGTAGAGTTTGAATAATTAGATATTGAAATTCTTCCAAAATTATATTTTGAATAAAGCTCAATTTTGGGGTTATTCATAATAAAACAGTACCTGTAAAATAATATATCTGTATTGTTTGATACAATACAGCCACATGTGGTGAGTTAATGTTTGTCTGGACAAAGTCATGATTCGGGCAGTTGAAAAAGGAGGAGGATGTTCTGAAAAAATTCTGCCAGTATTAGAAGAATCTAGATCTGGGGAGGGTCTCATATTTATGTGGAAAATTTAACTGTGCCTGGTTCAGTGCCAATGGAAACATTGGAAGGTATGATCAGCCAAATAGCAATAAATAAAGATTTGACAGTGGTTAGCTTTTGAGGCAATTTTTCTAATGACCTATACGTTCTAGCAAAATTTATAAAAACGCGATTAATGTATATCTGCCAACTTTCATGAATTGTTTGTAATTTTGACTCAAACTGCTATAGTTTGAAGATCTCGTGCATGAAATTAATATTTTCTGATTTTTAAATGTGTATAATATTTTGCTAGTTTTGATGATTGTCTCCATAATTGAAAGCACGTACTGTTGGCAAACCTTGCCATTTTAATTGATTCTCTTTATTGCACGAAAAACTATGCGGCATGATATTTGGTGACTTATTATTATTTTGGCAATTTTAAGTTCAGTTTGTCAAAAAAAAAAGGGGGGGTGATTTGTGAATTTCATAAAATTAAGAAAAAATATTGTACATGGTTTTATCCAATATCTTGATTCTAAAATTTAACCAAGATAATAAATGTTATAGCAGTTTTTGAAATTACTTTTTAGCAAAAGCAAAAAGCTGTTGCCAATTACATTAAAATTAATTTTGTTTGTTCTAAATTTTATGATAAATGTTTTCCTTTGTGTGTAATTCTTTCAAAGTATTTAAGTATGTGTTAGCTTTGTATGTAGAGTATATTTTACGCTAAAGATTTGTGGTATTGGAATTTCATTCTGTTTGGAGAATTTTTTTATGGGGGGATAATGAAGTTACCTAAATTTTCTGCAGTGTTTCCTTATTATTAATGCCGCCATTGTTTAAATAACACAAAGAAGCCTCTTATTAACCCTTTCGCGATGATGCATCTTTGTTTAAGACTCTCATGCATGATGGAAGGGAATTGAAGGCAGTCATCGCACAGGACGGGGGTTTTGCATCCCTAAGCCTAATTTTATTTTTAAAAATCAGTGAAAAAAAGTCACTTCTAGCATTGTAATTTTTGGTACCATTTGAGATTATTACTTGAGTTCTTATGTATGTTAAAATTAGCGTTTAATAACCTTTTTTTCTCTATTTTATATGGAAATATATTAAAAAAATTGCTTATCTTGTAAAATAATTTTCGGAAGTGCTATTAAAATTATTCCAAATTTTTAATTGATAAAAATTCATCAATAAAGTTTAAAATTAATAAAACAACACAATAAAGACTATTTACAGTAAGAAGTAACAAAATTTAAAATGAAGACTATTGTAAATCTCGAAGCATGGTGAAGTATCACTTTGTAACTCTTTAGAAAATGAAGCATCACTCTCATCTGTATCGGTAAATGGTTCATTAACCATACGAATGTATTCTTCCTCTGATAAATAGCACCTTCGTGCCATAATAGACTGGAGGTGAGGCTTTCTGAAATGAAAAGGGAAGGATCTGAAATATATCTGAAGGCAATACAAAATGTAATGGGATCATACATAGTAGAGGAAAAAATAGAATAAAAAAAGGAATTGGATATAAATCTGACACACGAATGTTTATATTAGCACTATGTTAAATAATAGATTGTTTAATATCAATGCAGCCTACATAATTCTGTTTTATTCTAAGAGCGATATCGTAAGAGTGAAAATTGATTGCTGTAATTTATTCATTTCCATTTGCTGATAGGTTCTTAATTTTTTTTATGGTTCTTAAAAATCCATAATGTTAATTTAAAGAAATGTGTACAAACCCTGATTGATGTCAACATTTTGAGGTAGTCTTAGGAAGGGACAGATCTTGAATAAAGGCAGATAACCTGGAAATAATCAGTAAACATTTTTGTCTAGCACATAGTCCGCTAGTAATAGATGAAAGATAAGATAGTTTTTGTCCTTTTAGTAGTTCAGGATCAAATTTAAACATCCTATTGATAAATATTTTGAAATCCAAATATCCCTTCTTCTTTTTAGAAGCAATACATACATGTTTTAAATAACCTTTTCTTGCGGATTCCCAGCTTTCTTCTGATGACGCCTTTTCTTGTGGTTTGTGAGCGTTTTTCTGTTTTTTGATTACGTTTATTCTGAATTGAATATGAGATGAGTTTTAAATGTATTACTTAATTTAATTTATTTTGCATTATTACTGCTACTTGTTGCTGCTTTTAGCGTGCAGATGGATTAGGTTTTGAATTACTTTGTATTTATTCTTTTTTATACATCTTTATAAATTATCTGTCTATAGGTAGATAGATAATTTTGAAAGTCACTTTTGGAAATTAAATTTTATTAAAAGTTTAACAGTTTTTATGAAAAATAATAAATTTGAAGCATTGTTTTTAAACAGAGTATAAAATTTATTTTGATATTCAAAAAGCTTGTGAAGTTTGAAATGAAAAAAGCTACTTGAGCATAAACCATCTTTGCATTCTGGACCAAGTTGTTATAAATATTATATTTTTCTTATCTTTGCAGATATGTAAACAAACTGCAGCTTTTCTTCTTCATGTTAGCCCTGAAAAACATCATAAAAAATTATCTTTCCATAAAAGCAGTGACACTAAGCCTATTTATTAATGTTATTTCTAGTTTTTCTGCCTGGCATCAAATTTTTTGCTGTTGTTTAATGAGTATTTTTTAATTTCATTTGAATATTTTTAATTGCTTGAGTCAGATTCATTGCTGAACCAAAACATGGCGAATCATTACTGTGTGAGA